TTATAAAAACTGCCCTGTTGAATTCACCTCACTACAGGTTACTACTCTCCAGTATCGAAAAAGGCTTTTCTTTTTGTTGAAAAATTTGGTTCAAGTGATCGTTGGAAAGAGTATTCATATATAGTATATGATTATTTATTTATATTATGTCTAAACAATAAATAATTATATATATATATATGATATATAAGCATGCAATGTATATATTTATCCTTAATATTAAATCAAATAATTTTAAAATTTTTAATTGTTGAGTAAAAAAAATAATAAAATTTACAAAAAATAATAATATTAGTAATTTTTAAAAACTTTATTATTAAAGTATAATAGCTTAATAAAGTAGTTTACATATTTTTTTGCTAACTCTTTCTGATGATCATTTGGACTACAATTTCTAAAAAACTTTTTATTAGAAAAAAACAGTATACTAGAGTAAAGTTGTTGACTCTCACGTAAGATATAGAAAAAGTGACTATAAATCAGCAGCTGTTATTTAGAGGTAGTTCTCATATGCTACCTGCTAATAGCTTCAGAGTTTATCACTCACTGACTGCAAGTACAGCACTTGTCATTTAGAAGTAGTGTTACAAAGCAGATTGTAACACAACTAGTGCTCGGCAAAGTCAAATAAAAATTTGATACCATATGCTACCAAATAGAAGCAATCACCGAATAAAAGCAACTCTCCAGATTTGGGGTGCCAAAAATGAGAGAAATTAGAAAATTTATTAGTTACCAAATATAAGCAACCCCCCAATTTCGAAAACCTTTATACTATACATCCAACTCTACAAATTTTGACCCGGAACTAATAAAAATAGTCACTAGTATGTAAATCGATTAGTCCTATATGCTTTTTATTCAATATTATTGTATTTTCTTGATAAAATAGAAATATTTCTAATAACAAAGATCAACTGGGTGTGATATCATAATTAAGTAAAGCAAAGCAATTTTTAATCACTAGAATATAGTATGAGATATTTAATTCTTTTTTTCTTTGCCTATATATTGTGGTTTTTTTTTATATTATAGGAATATACATGCCTATTAAAAATATTTTAATTGTTTATCATTACAACAATATTAATACCGGTAAATAAATTTTAAAATACTGGTAGTTTAATAGCAAGACTATCTATAACTTTATTACTAGAAACGTTATAAAACTTTCAATACATTCACTGCTTATCTATTGTAAAAACAAGAACTTCTTTATTTTCTACAATAGTTATATCATGGCCTTCTTCTTCATCAATAATTGTATCATGGTCATTGTCTTTATCAATAATTGCATCACAGTCTTCTTCATCGCTAGAATCGATTATAGTAATATTTTGTTCATCAGAAATATAGCAGGGTTCATCTTGGCAAATTTCTTCACTTTTATTGCTAAGGATTTCATCATAATATATTTCATCATCTTCTGACCCATCCATCACATTAGAAATAAAACATTTATGAAAAGCACATTAGATAATTTCAGGATCAATTCCTGCCTAAGCAGAAAGTACCCACTCACAAATAATATGCAGTTCTGCATGTTTTAAGTTCCCTTTCTTGGTTTTACCAGAACCACCCTCTGCCATCCACTTATGCTAGTGATGACGAAGCGCTACTTTAAAAGGTCGATTAATAGAAACGTCAAGTGGTTGGCACACAGAGGTTAAGCCACCTGAAATAACAACTAGATCATTATTATTTTCACACAACTTTGCTTTAACTGCATCAGTAAAATGTGCTTTAAATGAGTCAAATACTAAAAGAGAAGGTTCATTTTCCTGACCACCTAGACGACCTTCAATATAGCTATCAGCCCAAGCTAGTATACCCGGTTCATTTATTCAACCCTTTTCATGAAAAAATACAATTACACCAGAAGGAAGAGGAGGTTTGGTCTTAGACCATCTTTGGCTCTTGAATATAATTGTAGGAGGGAGCTTTCGTCCATCAGCGAAACACGTCAAAACTATGGTAAATTGATTCTTCTCATTACCAGTTGTGCGAATATGAACAGTTTTGGCACCAATTTGCTTAACAGTGAGATCACCAGCCATGTCAAACCATATGGAGGTTTCATCCATATTTACAATATTGCTTAGAGAATAATTTTTTCTATAACGTAACTGAATTACGCACCGTTGAAAATTGAGCAATTGTTGTTTAAGGTCTGCGGGCATTTTTTGTAAGATTTTTGTTTTTTGATGTAAGGCAAGATTATAATGTTTTAAGAAACGTTTTATCCATATTGAAGAAGCTTTGAAGGTGCTTGCAAGTTGTATTTTTGCAAGATCATTGCTTTTTGAAGCAGCTTCGGAGACAAACTTTAACATTTCTAACCTAAAGCTATTATATGTTACAGCAAGTGCTACACTATACATGTTAGATATCCAACTATAAAGCCTTGCTTCTTCTTTAGAGAAAAAGCACTTTCTACTAGCATCTTCAAGGCAATGTAGCTTGCTATGCTTAATTTCATTTAGTTGGTCTTTTAGCTGCACTACCCAATGGCCAACTTGAGACTTGTCCAAACTAAACCTTGTAGCAGCCTTAATGTTACTTGTATGGAGAGCATACCAGACAACATGAGCTTTGTCTTGGATAGTATATGACTGACGAACCTTTTTTTTAGCAACCTTTTCTGACATTTAGAAAAAAATTTACCGGTTAAAAAAAAAATTCTCTATTACTATTTATAACCACCACAAACTGCCACATAAATTTCCCTTGATTAAATCACAGATATTATAAACAAATGTCTAAATTGGCATTTGTAAAGAAATATTGGTCTAAATAAGAGAAGTATGCATTTAAAAATCTTTCACTCATTAGTATACACCTACTAATGTACTTTTATACCTGCCAAGTTTCAATGTTTAATTTTTTTTTTACATTTGTAATAACCGCTTGAGTGTTTTATTATTATTTATATAGGTTTAAAATAATTGATAGTTTGATAGTATAATAACTCTACACCAACGATAGACAACAAGAATGTGCAAGTAAGGTTTATGATAAAGATTTTTTGAAAATCTTTTAACTGAAACTTAAGCATGTGATTAACTAACCAATCAAATCTTTCTATTTATTTGTGATTTTATTGGTTAAAATCTATTATGTAAATAAATACGATTTCGAATAGAAGCTACCCCCCTGTTTGGTCTGGGAAAATCAAAAATTTTTTGGTTGCTTCTATTCGGTAGCATATGGTAATCAAATACTTAATAAAATATTTGATAATTATAATTTCCAAATCAGGTAAAGCATAATCTTAGATCTAATTAAGCTTCGCATATCTATCATATTAACTATAATTGTTTAGATTTGATCTAATTAAGCTTCGCATATCTATCATATTAACTATAATCATTTAGATTCTCAGGTTTGGGCATTAGAGTTTTAGATTCTCGGATTTGGGATTTGTATAAACTTAAGCAAAATACAAATAATAAATATTAGCAGCTTAGATTCTACTTTTATTACTACTAAAGTACATGATTCTCCAGTAATTTGAATGCCTTACTAAAGGAATGGAATTGCTTTCAGATCTAAATAAGGTATTAGAAATAGCTTTAAATAATATAACGGCATTTAAATATTGGTCAAGACTATAAAAATAAGGATTCCTTGTAAATTTGAATAAAATATTAGAATTTAAACTAATAGTTTTATCAAAAGAGTAGGGCATTAGCAGGAAAGTAAACTTTTCTTTTTAAATCTGGTTCTTAGATTTTTTGAATAATATAACTAACATCTCTTTTCTCTTCTGGGCACTTATTAGAAGTATTACTGGAACTTTTCTTTTAGTTTTTGGGATGTAGATAATCTTATTGACATATTAGAGAGCTATCACTTATTACGTAATTATAGCCCCTCCAGAGTCAGTCATTTGACAATTACAAGTTCTAAAGTAATCATAATATAAACTATATATGATTGGTTATTTTAAAGCTTGCAATTGTCAAATGATTGATTACTTTAGAACTTGTAATTGTCAAATGACTGACTCTGAAGAGGGGCTATAATTACGTAATAAGTGATAGCTTCCTCATTATCATTTTTTTTTATTTCAGTTTTTGAATTTCTTGAATAATATAACTAACGTCTCTTTTCTCTTTTGGGTGCTTATTAGAAGTATTACTGGAACTCTTCTTTCAGTTTTTGGAACATAGGTATTCTTATCAATGCATTATTATCTTTTTTTTTATTTAAGTTTTTGAATTTCTTGAATAATATAACTAATGTCTCTTTTCTCTTTTGGGTGCTTATTAGAAGTATTACTGGAGCTCTTCTTTCAGTTTTTGAAACGTAGGTGATCTTATTGACATATTATCATCTTTTTTTTTATTTAAGTTTTTGAATTTCTTGAATAATATAACTAACATCTTTTTTCTCTTCTGGGTGCTTATTAAAAGTATTACTAAAACTCTTCTTTTAGTTTTTGAAATGTAGGCATTCTTATCGACGCATTATCATATTTTTTTTTATTTAAGTTTTTGAATTTCTTGAATAATATAACCAACATCTCTTTTCTATACTGGGCGCTTATTAGAAGTATTTCTGGAACTCTTCTTTCAGTTTTTGGGATGTAGGCGTTCTTATCGATGCATTATTATCTTTTTTTTTTTTTTTAGATATTTTCACTTATATCTTTATTATAAAGGATAGATTTGTAGCTAGTGTTTTTTATATATAGTCTTTTGGTAGTGTATCATTATTGTTAGTAGCAGATTTAGCTATTATTATATAAATAATAATTAGGCTGTTTTTAGTGCACTTGTATAATAATATTTTATTAAGATTGGGCTAGAATAATTATATTATAGAATTGGTAGAATTAGTATACTTGATATAAATAGTTGTTAAATTATATGATAAGTTCATTTTATTTTTGGTCAAAGGTTTTATTATAAAATGTATACCATATTTTATGGGCTAAACCACCCTCCCCTGTAAAATATTTACTAGCTTTTATCTAAATATTTTTAATATTTATTGTTATCTATATAGTATTAGTATAAGTTTTACTATAATATAAGTACAAAATATGCACTAATATAATATTCAAATGCCGACATATAAAGCTGTAAAATTGCACAGAGGGGAGTGGTTTAGCCCATAAAATATGGTATATTTATTAATAAAAAATATATATTAACAAAATTTTAGATTAAAAAAAATAACTAATACATTAAATTTCATACAAGATCATTATTACTATCTAATCTTTATGTTTAATCTCTATGCATAATCGCTTGATTATTATTTAATCTTTATATACAATCACTTGATTATTATTTAATCTTTATACACAATCGGTATACTTATTATGCTTGCTTAATTACTATATAGTCTCTATGCATGATTGTTATACTTGCTCATTATGCTGTTTAATCATTTGCTTGCTTGATCATTTGTTTGCTTGATGTTATGCTTGCTTGATCATTATGCTTGCTTGATTATTACGCATGAAAGAAGATTTAAAAAGTATAAAGTCTACAGTATTAATAAATAAAGATTGTACCTTTGTTGTTTCTTTTCTAAAAAAAATAAACCAAAATATTATTATATTCTATTAAACTTGTTTTAAATAATAAACCATCAACCTGTTATCTAAAATACTTTTCTAACTTCAAATAATATTCACTACTAGTATGCATGTCCCAGTGCTGATATGGCTATACTTTGACCCTCTTATTGAAGATGAATCAGGCAAAAAAAAGCTAAATATAAAATATGCCCAGGAATCAAGTATCTTATCATAAATAATAGTGGTACTTCCAATTTGCATAATCATATTATTAATATTTACAAAATTAAAATCTCAAATGTTTTCTGTCCTGAAAAGTTAGCCAGTTTCTTTTCTCAGTCCAGTGAACATCTTTTTAGAGAAATATTGGTTGAGTGGATTGTAAAAAACAGCCTTCCGTTTACTACTATAGAGTTAGAAAGTTTTTATAAATTAGTTGAAGTAATTAAAAAATTAAAAGATAATATCACAATTCCATTTGCTAGTAAATTAAAAGAGATCTATTAGAATATTACTTAGTATCAAAGGCATTATTAAAAGACATACTAGAGAATAGCTCAAGTATAATTTCACTTACCACAAATATATGAACTAGTAATAGTTGTAAGTCTTTTTTAGAAATTACAGTCCACTGGCTTAATAATAACTAGGAATTTCAATGCTACATACTTGATCTTGCGCTATTCAAAAGACTGCATTCTGGGGTGAATATAGCAAATACTTTAATAAAGGTTTGCGAAGACTTTGGCATTACTTATAAAATACTTAGTATAACAGTTGACAATACTTCTAGTAATAATATATTAATCAAAGTATTTGAATCATATTCTATGGAAATTGGGGTTTTTTCACTCAGCGGCAAGGTCATGTCTGGTGTATCACTCATGTTATTAATCTTGCTTTGCAAGATTTTTTATCTCATCTACATTCTAAAGTACTAGATCAAGAAGATGATGATTTTAATATTTTGGCCCAAAACAATACCTTTAATAATTCCCAAGTTCTAATGATTAAAAAACTTCGTAGGCTTATTGCAAGACTTCAGCATTTGCCCCAATGTCATCAACTGTTAAGCAAAATATGTACAACTCTAAATATACAATATAAGAATCCAATTCTTGACTCAAAAACACGATGAAACTCAACTTTTAATATGATTGAAAGAGCTATTATTATGGCTCCAGCATTAAATAGAATAGTTAGAGAAATTCCAGAGCTAAGTATATTTGGTCTTCTAAGAACAGAATAGACAATATTGAATGAAATTTCATTATTTTTAAAAACTTTTCATGATATATCTGAGACAATGTGTGGTGAGTCATATATAACAATGCCTCTTGCTATTCCTGTATATAATCTTATTATGGATGATCTTAAGAGATTGCAAGAAAAAGGTTTATTGCCAATAATTAATGATACTATTAATATAGCACTTGAGAAACTAAGATTTTATTATGCCAGGAGTAATATCTTATTAGATCCAAGATTAAAAAAGATATATTATGAAGTAAATAAGTGGGATAAAAGATAGATTGATTGGGCAATTGATTGTTTAAATAAAGTATATAGTGATAGTAAATATGATAGTATAGTACTAGAATTAGATACAAAAATTAATAATAGTGATAGTAATAATTCTAATACTTGTCTTAGATGGGTTTTTAAAAAGTTCATTCTACAAATATAGATGAAATTAATTTATATTTAAATAGCTCCATAGTAGATGATAGTATAGATATATGCTAATAGTGGAACATGCATACTAAAATATTTCCAAAATTAGCATATATAGTATGTGATTTCCTTGCTATATCTGCATCGAGTACTTCATCCAAAAGACTGTTTTCAAGAGGTTCCAATATGGATACTAAAAGGCGTGAATTATTAAATTCAGAAACAATCCAAAAAGCAATTGCGCTTTGTGATTGGATAAATTGAAATATTATATACTATATTAGCATTTATTGCTATTTACTACTATTTTATTTCTATTAATATTAAAAAAAATGTATACATTTTATAATAAATTTTTGACCAAAAATAAAAATGGACTTATTATTATTGTTCTAACCCAATCTTAATAAAATATCACTACACAAGTGCACTAAAAACAACCAA